TTTTTTTTGGTGGTTATGTGATAAGTCGAATTAACCAATCTTGTTTGAGATTAGGGTAGAGAAAATAACATATAAAATAGAATTATTTAGTGAAAAAAAGATGTTTGAAATGCATTTAGGAGGTTTTAGGGATTACACAAAGGAAATTTGAGATTTTTGAGATGACAAAAAGTATTTTTAATTTTAACACGAAATTACTTTGCACACGGACTATTCAAAACAAATACTCAATATATTCATGGACAAAACTTTATTTCATTAAAAGTACTTCACTAAGAAATATGACTTTTTGTATGTGAAAGACTTGTAATATTAACTGAAAGACTGCCAAACTTTGTGAATATGTACCAAATATATAGAGAGTTATAAGTATTAAATTGATGTCAACTTTAAACGTGTACAGAAGGTCACGTGACTCGGGCAAATTGACCGACCCTGTGTCGGAAGAGTTAAGGTTTGCAGGGTTACATTCCCAGTGTTACCATATGAGTGAATTTGATTTTTTTAACATCATAATTTTAAAATGCTCATAACATCAGAATGCAGTAGCCTTATAAATTGCAAAATGAAATATTATATTAAAATATGCTTTGGAATAAATATGCAACAGATAAAGAAAATTAAAAAAAAAATCCAACTACAAAAACAGAAATAAACAAAAATAAATGTATAGCTAAAACTAACAGCTAAAGCTCAACTACAATGCATACCATCAATGTATCAAATTTTGTTTTGCTAAGAAATGCTCAGAAAGCATACTACAGAGTTTGAATGATACAAGTCAAGCTTACTAATACTACTTGAAATGAAGTCTTGCTGGCCTGAAAAGCCAAGAATAATGAAGATAAATCTTCAGCAAATAATTAGGAAGTACTTTACGACTACAATAAAATAGTTAAAATCAATGTAACAGTAAAGAAATTATACTGCCATGTTTTATTTGAACAACAACAGAAACTTTTTTTTTTTGTATTTTTCAGACATTATTTAGGTGCCAAACACTTTTTAAAATTTTTTTATGGATAAAAATTAATCCTCACTATCCAAAAAGGCATACAAGTTGCTTCTTGGCTTAATTTGCAAGATTAAATAATACATGTAGATCTGATTTTACACAGTTATTAGTTGTACACAGTCACTACACTAAAAAATAAAGGAAAAATATAAACAAGCTTACAAAATCTTTCATGGCTTTCAAGACTACTTCACTTGCAGTGGACCCTCTGACAAATATTGCAGTTTTTGCATTTTCTTGAACTTTGGGTTCTTTATTTTCTAAATAAAGCTTTCCTTTACGAGTTTGTGGTTTTCTGGAAATATAGATAAGACTTTTATACATGCAAAGCTAACAATATTAAAACTGAATATAAAATGAAAATAAAAAAGATTCAGTCCACTATAATATTTAAATAACTCAGCTACAACATATAAATGAAAAGAAAACTTGCCTAAATATTGAAATAATTCATTTTAATAGGAATCACTAATTCCTCAGGTTAACTCCTTGAGAAATTTCCAAAGCTTTCACTTGCATATCATGAAAAACAGAGATGGAATCAAACTCAATTTGCCTCCAATTCCAGTGAATTTAGAATACTTATCCTAGTTTAATTCATAGTAAGTACTACAGAAAAATAACAAATGCATTAACAAAAAATGCTTCAAAATAATTAAAATAATAATTCACACTATATGATGTTCAATAATATACTGTTATATTATTCTTCTGCTATTTCCAACATCATGTGACATAAATAAAACTACTTAATCCAGTTTATACCTTACCAGTTGTCAAACAATTTGCTAATATAAATAGCATATGAACCACTACATCTTATGTATCTTATGGATATATCAAATATGTGATTGACACTCTTCTTTACTTTCATTCAGAAGTTATTAGTAACCCAGATAAAAACATTTTGTGCAATGGAATTAATACATTACAAAGGTATATTTTAACTGAACTGTATCATCACCAGTTAAAAGGTTTACATTTTCCTATACTGAAAATTTATTTCCAATAATACTTACCTCGTCTCATACTTTAGCTTTATCCCAATGAAAGGTTCTTATCTTTGCCTGTCTAAGCATTGGTATGAATTCTACATTACTTGCTCAAGTCTTTATACCCCACTATATTGCTCCTAGTGATTTTAATCTTGTGACTTTCTCCACCTATGTCAATGTGCCCTTGATCTGTATGTAAGCTCCCCACTATTTTTTCTTATTTACTTTTTTGACACTGGTAAGATTATCAGACCCAAACACTGGCTATTGTGGGGAGGAAGGGCGGAATAGTGTGAGAGGAGGCAAGTATTATCGGAAGTATATTTTCGGTATAGAAAAATGAAACTTCTGAAACACACAAGTGGAGAAACCAGTGAGGGCAAGAGCCACACAAAAAGCATTTGTGTAGATGTGCAAAATTGAGATATAATAAAGCACACTAGTGGGGGTCTGCACTACTTCTGGAACAGGTATGCTCTTTGCCCAGATAAAATGAAATCTAAACGTGGGCAGCAAAGGCCAACCAACTACAGAGTCAACATTACTCATTATCATGAGATTCATCCAGGCCCCAACCACACAGATGAGGCTCCACATCTTTTCATTGGAATTGTAGGGCTGTGGAAAAAAAGCTAGATCTAATGTGTAGTGGCTAGGGTATGGTGACTGCAATATGATTTAACTGTATAATAGGAATATGATAAGATGGGAACTCAAGCTGTATGTTACATGTCAAACCACTGAAATTAAAAAAAGAAGTTAGTTAAGCAATACTTAAGTGTAGAAACTCTCATTCTAACCTGAAGAATCACAAAATAGAACAAACTGAGCTTGGAAATGTGGGCTCAGGCACCCAACCTAAAAGTTACAGAATGTTGTATTTGAGCCACCGGAATGATGAAGGGAAGGCAAGCAACATACGACTGGACAAGTCTTTCTCCCCAACCTGAAAAAGCTCAGAATGCAACCAACAGAACTCAGAATTACAGAGTCAAGTCACGCCTCACTCCAGGGTTAAGGGTGGGAGGGTATTCAGCTTTGCCCTCTTCTCCTTGAGTGGAATAAAGAGTATAAACATCACTCAGGAGGAATTAGACCTCTGTCTACCACTCCAGCAACTGGAAAATGAGTGGTAAGGACTCCCTTGCTCCACTAGAAGAGAGGGGTGACTCGCATTGGAGGGTCCTGAGGATCTATGTTCTGGAGACAGTACAATAGGTGAATCATGTTACCTATTTTGAAAAGCAAACCAACCCTGAATTAGTCAATTCAGTGGTTAGAAGGGATGAGCAAAGTCCCTTTATGTTCTATTCATGATAGTCCATGAGCAGAAGTCCTGTATGGTATATTATAAAGCTTGTTGCTACCAGAATTTAGTTATTAGTCTACTAGTAGCTAGCACAGATTTGTAAAACCATATCTGAACAGGCAGAGACAACACTCGCCACTGAGTGGGATTCAAATGAAAATGCTAAGAAGGTCCCTGAAGTTACTCAGGGCATGTAGAATAGTCATGTGGAGGGGGGGACACATGCAAGGCAGAGACTGCTAAGTCCTGTAAATAGTACAATATAAAGGCATTAGGTATGGTCCATCTAACACCCTTCTTTACAATTCCCTCTCACAGTCAATGTAACCAAGCTACCAGGGACATTGATATATGTTGAATTTCATGAGATGATGCCCTAAGAAGTCCCTGCTCCTCCAATGAAAGACCAAATTAGCAATTCCAACTTGTCAAAGTGAGAGGGGATATGTTGCATGATATTGAAGGATCCCATTGGATAAGTAACTAGTGACACAAGCCCTGAAATGCTTCATTGCACACCACGACATCAGAAAGCCCAAACAGGCATTAAAAACGATCTTCATTAGAATGGTTCTATAAACAGGAAATAGAGGGAAGATTAATAGAAGAAAAAGCCTTATCTCCTTCCATAGCTGCTGAATTTTTAGGTAGAAAGGACCAGCCTGGATATAATAAAATGGAGTTGGAATGATACAGTGTTTTGTGAATATGAAGCACAAACACATCTGAATGTCAACACCCTCCGGCTGATAACAGAAGAAAATATGTTGTAAGTGAAAGATGATATACTGAACATGACTCCAAAGGTTGACATTGTGGATAGGTTAATGCATGGAGAACTACTGTGATATCCCAATTAGCAACCTGGAAAGGGTGATGAGAACGAATAACCCAAAATGATTTCAAAAGTAATGACAAAACCAGGGACACAGAACTTTTCTTTCCTTAAAAAAACAAAAAGTGGTAAGGCAGCTTTACACAAGGTGACAGATGAAGGTGTCAAACCTTTGTCAAATAACCATGTCAAAAACTGAGAGATGTGGTGCAGTGGGACTCAAAGGGTTAAATCCATGTCTGATAGACCATTGATGATAAGTAAACCATTTCCTTTGATAAACTTCTAAAGAAGGATGTTGAATGGAACATGTTAATAAGGTCATGCAACATCTGCATAAAAGCCAGTTGTGAAGTCGAAGAACACTGACTGCTGGATGAAAAATGTCCGACTGAGGCTGAGGTAAGAGATGGTCAAGCAGGAAGGGGAAGAAGCTGACACTCTTGAAAATACTGGATGAGTGGAAAACAGGGCTCACCCAGCCAATACAATGCTACCAGAAGAACTCAACAGAACATGGAGTAAATCAGTGTCAGAACCTTGGAGAGTATATGAATTGGAGGGAATGCAAAAAAATTAAGATCCATCCAATCCTGGCTGAGAGCATCTACTCCCAAAGTCAAAGGGTGGAATACTGGAGACCAAAACAACAGTAGCTGAAGAGTTCAGTATGTGGCAAAAGCAGACCTGTGATGTCTCTACACAAGAGCAAATTCAATGCAAAACATGAAGATGAAGCATCCATTCCATAGGAATAGCTTTGTTAGAATGTGATAACTAGTTGGCCACTAGATTCATTACCCCTGGAACATGACAAACAAGGAGAACACTTTGGTTCGTGTGTGTGTGTACAAGACTAGTGTGGAATTGTCCACATGAAGCATTACTACCCTTCCCTCGCACCAATTCGAGACCCTTTGTCATAGCTCGTTGAACTGCTAAAAGATCCAAGAGATTGGTGTGCTGAGAAGCTTCTGATACTGTACAAAGTCCATGGAATTCCGTAATTTCTATACAAGCACCCCAACCCTGAAGAGAAGTAGCTGTGAACAGATGTATCTCTGGCCATGGAGGTGGTAGAAGGACACCTACTGTTGTGTTGTCCCTGTTCTACCACCAACTGAGATCCAGCAAACTAGAAACCGACAGTATCTCCCGACAATCCAGCACATCTGTGCAAATGTTTCACTGATTCCATAACAACCATTTGAAAGGCCTTCATGTGGGTCAGACCTAAAAGAATGAGTGATTTCAAGGATGCCCACATCCCCAAAAGATATAGTGTGTGTGCTGGTGGAGAAGGACACATCTCAGTTTGAAGAATCATCCTTACCATGGCCTGAAGGCATAGAGGAGAAGATTGGGCCTGGCTTAGTGTGGAATTAAAAAATACCTCTAAATGGATGAGGTACTGTGTGAGAGTAAGAATAGACTTCTCCTTTTTCATAAGAAACCCAGCTCACGCAGCTTCTGATAACAGAGCTTGAGTGTGCAGTTCTGCCAAATGGTGGGAAAGGGCAAGATGAAGCCAGTTGTCCAAGTAATGGTGAGTGTGAATGCTGGGGAGTGGAGTGGACATGAAAAAACTCCAACTATCCAGCCAAAAATGAGCAGATGCAAGACTGTATGATAGAGCACGAAATGGAAATAACGGGTTGAAGACTCAGTGGTTGGGATATGAAAGTAGGCATCTGCAACTTTGAATTTTGTTATCTATACTCCGAGTGAAAAGAGCCACCAAAAGGAAAGAAACAACTCCATTGCAAAATGAGAAGGCTGGAAAAAGCGATAGAGACAAGAAAGGTCAATGACAGGTCACCAATCACCCATCTTTTTAGTACTACTAACACCTGAGAGTAAAACACTTGAGAAAAGAGGTGACACTCTACGGTCTCTTTGTGCAGAAAATCGTGGATGGCTTGTGCTTGCTGGAAGTAAGAGGGTCCTTTGGAAGTGGGAAGCTAAGCAGTATAAGAGACAAGGGAAGAGACATGAGCTGAATGACCAATCTACTCCTGAGAACTCGAATGACCCACTGATCTGTGGTGAATGTCTCCCATACTGACACGAACCCCCTGAGACAAGACCCTCACAGGATCTGACCCCATAAGATAATCAATGATGCTGAAATCTGCAATCCATCATGCAGGAGGATC